TCAATCTTGTTCCACCATTTACCTTGGTGTCAGAGAACTCAGTATGTGCAAAATCTTTACGTATAAATTAATGAATGATCTCTCTCCCTGCACCATTGTTTCAAAATGTAAAAATGAACAGTAAGAAAATATTTTTTCATGTTGTAGTTTTTTTAATTTTGAAAGGTCAAGAAGTAGTTTATTTTTTTCCAGCATACTCATTTTATACATTAATTGGCTGGAGTAATATTTTGCTTGAGTTAATTTGGTTGTCCAATTTGCCAGTTTTTGCATCTCTTCCTCACTTTTTTGGTGGTGAGGGACTCTTTAACATACGTTTTTACTGCTTGAATTTGGAAAATAACAAGTCTTCTGTCTTTACTAAAAATTCAGATTATCTTTTATAGAACCAGAAATAACATTTCTAATATTAGTAAAGCTGCCTCAAAGCAGTTATGTTCTGTCTTATGTAGCATCATGTAGAAATAATTGTAGTTTTGGTCATTCAATCTCAGTTTTAATTGCATAAACTTTATAGTCAGAATTTCTCAAATACCGGGGATTTTTTCCTATTAAATGCCTCCTAACCTTGCCAACTTTTGATAGCATAGGATTATTATGTCTGTAGTTATGAAGGAAAAACATGTATAGAGTAACAGAACACCATTTAGAGTTAACCTTCCTTTACTTCCCATTTCTTACTCTTTCAAACTGAAATACTTCTTTCAAAACTATAGAAAATATATCTGAGAGGTTTTTTGTTGTTGTTGTTGTTTGCCTTTTTCTTGTTTGTTTTGTTTTGCTGGACCTTAGACATGTAAGACATCCCCTAATTTACAACTCTTTTTTTTTTTTTTTTGGTACCAGGGATCGAACTCGGGTCCTTGTGCTTGTGAGGCAGACTACCAAACCAGGCAGGCCACCAAACCGCTGAACTAAATCCCCGGCCCTAATTTACAACTCTTGAAGCTTTGTCTTTAGCTCTTACTCATGCAAGTTTTCTTAATTCACAAGAATCCATCAGGTGGTTTACTAAATTGAGCTTTTGTAATATTTCCAAATAATAATAATCACATGTATTTATTCAAATAACTGTATTTATCAATAGTTATTCATACATTAAGAGGTAACAGTTTTTGCTGTATGTATAACATTTGCATAGCATTAACTGTGTGCCAGGCACAATTCTAAGTGCCCTATATAATAAGCCTCTTTAGGGCTAGTGTAAGGGATAAATGAATAAAGTACTATTAATACCCTGTATCTAACAGAAGAAGAAACAGGCACAAAGAGATGTGACATGCCCAAGGTAACACAGCTCCAAAGTTTGTGCTCTTACTCGTGTACTATAATAAATTTATACCTTGGCATACTTTTAGTATGTTTGGAACAGGGCTGGGGATTTGGCTCAGTGGTTCTGACACCTGCCTCACAAGTGCAAGGGCCCAAGTTCGATCCCTGGTACCCAAAAAAGAAAAAAAAAAAATGTTTGGAACACAAAGATGTTCTGTTTCCAGCAAAAATTTGTGTGCCCCTTGCTTCTAAAGTATTTTAAAAGCAAATCAGAGAGATTTCTACTCATTTAAAAAAGTGGTCTTGGGCCAGCTGAGTAGCTCAGTGATGCTGCACCTGCCTGGCAAGCACAAGGTCCTGAGTTCAATCCCTGCTATCACACACACGCACGCACGCACGCACACATACACGCACGCACACACACAAGGTCTTTTTTAAGGAATAGGAAGAAACAATGCTTTTTGAGGTTTTATATTTGTTTTTCAAGCAGAATCAGATAAGATACTTTGTCTATAGGGATTTTTTTATCTGCCAAAGAAAACACAAAGGGACAAGTGTTATGAGTGTGGCTTAAGGAGTTTCTTAAGGAATGAACAAGCCCTTCTGGATGTCCTGAGCATGCTAAAACAACAGATGCATTCAAATGAATAATTGATGTCACACTACCCTAATCCCTCTTTTTAGAACAATGCTAAGTTATGAGTATAGACCTGGTAGTTTTATGAGAATAACAGAGGTATAGGTCATACCCTTCCCCCAGTAATCTGAAGTAAAGAAAATAAGTTTGCCCTCAAAGTAAACCAAAGCAGAGTTTGTTTTGACTGTAGGGTGTGGAGTAGAATATGGAGAGACTAAGATGGGTAGATACTGTGCCATTCAGAGACTAATAACCAGTTGTAACCAAGTAGGCAGTAATGCAGGTAACATTATTATACACTAATATGGGAAACACTAGTTAAAAAATAGAAGAGCAACATTAATCAAGAATAATAAAAAGTATTTCAAAGAGGCAGATATGGGCAAAGCTCATTCAAGCAGTCTAGAAGGAAAGAGTTCTGGCCCAGATTAGTTTCTTTGGTAAGACTGTTGTCCAGGCAAGAGAATCTTAAGACTTTTCAAATCTCCTTCATCTCTGTACTGCGCCATGTTCTGATCATTCCTTTTCCAAACAGCTTACCAAGATACACACACACACACACACACACACACACGCACGTGCATGTGCACACTAGTCAAAATAAGGGATACAGATGAAAACACTGTAGTAAATGGTGATGATGGTTGAAGCCAAGTGATAAGTACCTGGGAGGAGTGGTAAGGCTGTTTTGTTACTATTTAAAAAATGTTTTTGAGATATTATGGATTAAATTCAGGGCCTTCACACTAAGCTAACCTCCAGTCCTTTTTAATTTTTTTTTTATTTTGAAACTCAGGCATGGTGGTGCATACCTGTAATCCCAGCACTGGGGAGGCTGATGCAGGAGCATCACTGTGAGTTCGAGCCCAGCCTGGGCTACATAGTGAGACTTTTGTCTCAAAAAACAAACTGATATTAATTAACAATTTTTTTATTTTGAGAAAAAAAATCTCGCTAAATTCCTCAGGCTGGGCTTGAATTTGCGATCCTTCTGCCTGAGTGTTGGGATTAGAGTTGTGCACTACCACACCCAGTTTCTGGTTCTTCTCTTTACTTTTGTAAATGAACTTTTCCATAGTAAATTATATTAGTTGCCAAATAATGCACATGCCTGTGCCTCTTGGCTCTTGTATTTCTTTTGATAAATTTAGTTATTGGCTTACTTTAATTATATTGAGTTCCTCAGACATTGCAATTCTGGTTTACCTTTAGATGTGCTGATAAAACTAGGGTCTGAATTTTCAAGTCTGCAGAACCTGTCCTAGATTGTGGAAGGATGACCAAAGTAATGTCCTTGTCAGGATATTTGGTCATCAGCCATTGGAGTAGACATACTTCTGAATCACATTTTACTCACAGGATTGTTTCTAGCTATTTAGTATATTTAAATCATTTTTCTCAAATCAGAGAGTAGAAGTTCTGAAGGTTGATCTTCCAAGATAGGAATTCCTCTATTGAAGGGTAGTGACACAATTTCTTATCCCTCTGTTACCATTTCTCAGTCCTTTAAATTTTGCTTTATTAATTTTCTAATTCTCTTTTCTGTTTTTATCACAGCTCTCTTAAAGAAAATAAATGTTGTATTAAACCCCTTTCTTTTCTATTTTTAACCAAGTTTTAGCCTCTTAGAGGAAGCTATAGCTGGTAAATATAAAAATTAAATATCAAAACAACTGATAATCCTTTATAAAAAGCATTCTAGCTAATAATTGAAGGAAGAATTATAGAAATATATAATCATGATTAATTGTAATGATTAATAGTTCTAGGCAGTGATCATTAATAGCTTCCAAGTTCACAAAAAGAAAAACAGTTGGATGTTAGTGCTTCTGAGTGGAACTGCACAATACTATGAATGAAATATTCTTGCCAGAGCAGCAAATCTGAATCAGCCAAGCTTCTAGATCTAACTAACAATATACAAGAAATACAGTATATAGCAAAAAAAGAGCTGACAAAGGAATATGATACATCACATTGTGGACATATTTTTAATGCAGTCCCAAATGTGGACAATGCTATAGAACAGATTACCTAATTTCTTAGGGGTGTGGCTAGAATCTGTTAATTAAAAGAGTTGTTAAAATACTGTCGACCAAATTATAATCTGTGGACTGTATTTGGATTTCAACAAATAATAGGTAATCATTTATAATAAGTTCAGAAAAATTTGAATATTAACTGAATTAATCATCATTTTAAAGTAGTATCTAGAAATTGTTTTTAAAATAGTGCAGGAGTAAAATGGGAGCTTGTTGAAACACAGTTAGTCTTGATAATTATTAGGGGATTTAGCTCAGTGGCACCGCACCTGCCTTGTATGTGTAAGGTCTAGAGTTCGATCCCTGGGACGAGGGGGGAAAAAAGTTACTTTCTTAGCCTTGATAATTACTGAATTTAGGTAATGAATACATGGGGTTCAGTATTTAACTCTTTGTGTCACTAATTTTTTTTATAAAATAAGTTGAAATTTTTACATACAGAATTTATTTGAGAGCTAGGTTGCAGGGCTGTAGGTAAAGCTCAGTAGTAGGACATGTGCTTAGCATGAAGAAAGCCACAGGTTCAGTCCCCAGCACCAAAAAACAAAGGCAAAAAGCAAGGTCACTCATGCCTTCTAGGATGTCTTATCTGTTTCAACCAAATGCTTTGTAAATTACATTGGTAAAAATTTAGTAAGTTTCACCATTTTGTCTCTAAACCTACACATTAATAGATCTCTTGTTTAAGTCCTTGAGATCTTAATTTTTGTATTACGTTATTTCCACTTATAGCTTTTTTTAAATTATAGTTCAATATATAACCAGTGGTAAGCCTGCTGCATATGAAATATTCTAATTTTAAATGCTGGGGTGACTTGTTGGTTTTTTAATTGGTTTGTTGGTTGGTTTATTCAGTCATTTATTTATTTCTTCATTTATTTATCCAGTATGCTAGAGATTGAACCCAAGTCTTCATGTGTGCTTAGTGCACACTCTTCCTCTGAGCTATATCTCCAGCCCCCAGCTTATTTTTTTCAGTAGCTTAATTTTTTTACTTATGTCTTAGATGCTTATCACTGTCATTGGAATTGATTGTATTCTTACTTTAGGTACTTGCTGCAACCAAGAGACAATGGGAATAAGTCATCTAAAACTGATGATCTTGGATCTCTTCGATTAAATATATGTTATACAGAAGATTATGTGCTTCCTTCAGAGTACTACAGTCCTTTGAAAACTTTGCTGCTAAAATCACCAGATGTTCAGGTACTTAAAAAAGTCTTAATGTATTCAATATGGGTATTAATATTTAATAGTCATTACATTAAATAAATGTAATAGTATTTAATATGAAAAGGATAAACTAATTGAAGAAACAATTTGAGTGTCACTTTTTTTGTTTGTTTGTTTGTTTTTTTGCGTTTTTGAGACAGGGTCTCACTATGTAGTTGAGACTGACCCGGAACTCACTATGTAGCCCAGACTGGTCTCAAACTCACAGTGATCCTCCTGCCTCAGCCTCCCGAGTGCTGGGATTACAGGTGTGCCCCACCACGCCTGGCTTGAGTGTCACTTCTAATTAAGACAGTGTGCATGTATATTTGATTTATCTGATAAAGAGTACTGATTATGGTGAATACTCAAAATTTCATCTCTGAAAAGAATTTTTAAAATTAAATACTACTATATATTTTAGTTATTTCTCTTGTTGCTGAGATAAGATACTAGCACCCAAAAAGCTAAAGATTAAAGATTTAGTTGGGTATAATGGCGCACAACTGTAATCCTAGCATTTGGGAGACTGTCAGGAGGATTGCCATGAGTTCAAGGCCAGCCTGAACTACATAGGGATACCCTTTCTCCAAAAAAACTTAATAAATATAATAAAGACGTAAAAGAGGAAAGGTATATTTTGGCTCGCAGTTTCAGTCCATAGTTGGCGGGTTCCAGGCAGGGTAGCATGGTAGAGGGCCATTACAGAGGAGAAACAGTTCAGAAGGCATCAAAGCACTGACGTGGCAAAGCAGCAAGCAACTGCAGCAGCCCTCCTTCTGTGCATTATATTCTATCCAGGCTACATGCCATTAAGGTGGGTAGCACTCACACCCAGGGTTAGGCCTTCCTGTTATCCACACTCAAAACTATGCCAAACCAGTCAGTGAACTAATTTCGTAATCATACACCCTTGATCCCAGCATCATACACTATAGATCCAGCCACCTCTGAAAAGCCCCACCTATGGTTACATGAGGCTTTGGGGGAACATCTAGACATAAGCCATAACACTGTATAAGTTATATTTAATGAACATATGTGAATTACTTTTACAGGTTAGTTATTCAGCATTTAACCATGTTTCCTTGATTTTGTGCTTGTTTTTTGCCTTTCTATATTCTAGCCAGTATCTGCCTCAGCTGCTTACATTTTGGGTGAAATATGTCGAGATAAAAATGATGCTGTTTTGCCCCTTGTACGACTGCTGCTGCACCATGACAAACTTGTTCCTTTTGTCACTGCAGTGGCTGAATTAGACTTGAAGGATACCCAGTAAGAATTATGTTTTATTAAATGTTAATTATGTGTTGTTGAAATTAGGCCTTTATTTGCCAAATTCGGTAGCCTAAGTTCTTTTGTATTGACTAGCCTATCTGAAAAGAACTGTTTGGCAAGTAATAAAAGGCAGTTTTTTAGGTCATCAAACAGTATCCATTTGCAGTGAAGATAACAGTGACAGATTTTTTTTTAAGTCCAGGATGAAATTTTTTTGATGTGTGATGTTATAAAAAGCACTCAAGTAGATTCCCATTCCCATTATAGTCAACACTGTCATTTTGTGTGTGCATATACATGCATGTGGACTTAAACACACATGTACACACAAAGATTTTTTTGTTCCAAGAAAGACTTATTTAAAATTATTTGTGGCCTATATGTGTTAATCCAGGTTAAAGATGACGCTTCATAGTGCTGTTTTTATTCAATGCATTAGCCAGCTGTAAAACACAGAGCTTTATTAGTAGCAGGCAAAGAATTTCAAGATAGCCTATAAAGTCATAATTTGAAAAGCAGTTTCCTTTTAAAAGAGCTCTCAAGTTGCTTGTAAAACTAATCTAATTAAAAAGATGTAAATGTTCTTGAAAAAATGATTTTTTGGTTCATAAACATGATTTCTTTTTCTGTTTCTTTGGTTAACTACTTTTTCACATTTTTTTGAAAAATATTTTTAAGTTTGAAAAATCTATTGGCAGTAAAGTTTTTAAAATAGATTATAAAAATTGTACAAGTCAAATGTGTCATATTATTGTCTTCATAGCCTTTTCATCTATTTATATTTCTTTTTCAGAGATGCAAACACAATTTTTAGAGGAAATTCCTTGGCAACCCGATGTCTGGATGAGATGATGAAAATAGTGGGAGGTCACTACCTGAAAGTAACATTAAAATCTATTCTAGATGAGGTACAGAATATGCCCCCACTGCTGGCAATTTGTGGCCTTGTTATAATGCCTCTTTCAACAAGTAATCTATGATAGGAAGATCTGTCCATTCATGTATTAGGGAAAAAGTAAGGCTAAATACTTCAGTAGTATTTACTATTCTGTCAGTGGATTTTTACCCAAAAGGCACATTGTTATATAATCTACATATATTTCTTAGCTAGAGTTTTAAGTATATGAGAGATACTTTTGTTATACTTCTTTAGGAAAATTCAATATGTTATCTTTGAATGAAAGTTTTAAACTTCATTGCAGTTTTAATTTTTATAGTTACTGTCTTAGTTACTTTTCTCATTACTGAGACAAGATACATAACACCCAAAGTTAAAGGAGGAAAAGTTTATTTGGCTCACAGTTTGTGGAGGTTTCAGTCCGGAAAGGGCTGGCTCCAAAGCAGTCTGGCATGCCAGACTGGCATCAGATGGGAGAAATGGTTCATGGTGGGCAGAAAGTAGCAAAGCAAGCAAACAATCAACTACAAGTAACTAGCACCAGGCCTCTTTCTGTCCCTTATATTTTACCCTATTCACACCCTAGCATTGCACCATGAATCAGTCACACATTGTAGATCCAGCCACTTCTGAAAAAGACCTACCTATGACTACTTGAGGCTTTGAGGGGACATCTAAACACAAGCCATAACAGTTAACTTCTCAAATACATTACTGTCATTTTGTCAATTTAGGAAAGAGCATTAACTAAAAAATTCATTTATTTTCCAGATATGTGAATCCTCGAAATCTTGTGAAATTGATCCTATTAAATTGAAGGAAGGAGATAATGTAGAAAATAATAAGGTAAGTATTTTGTTGTATTTATAACTGCATTAACATTGGTCTTAATAGTGTCCTAATCACCCATTTACATTGTAATGATGCTTTTTGGAGGGAATGGTGCTGTTTATTCTTTGCACTGTCTTCACTGTTCACAGTGTTTCCTGGTTCTGGTTTTTAGAATATTATTCCCTCAATGGTTTCACTTTATTTTGCTTTTGATTAGCTCTTTCTGGCTGTAGTAACAATATAAGATTTAGTTAGTTATCTAGTTGAGACTTTCATTCTGTTTTCTTCAGGTCAAACTCATCATTACTTCTAGGAAACTTACAATTGTTTTAGGGCCACAAATTTTCATCGCAATACATAATAGTATTACAGTGTTTTGGTGCCTGCATATCTAAATTATTTCCTTCATTTCCCTTTTCATCCTTTTATCTTTTATTGCTTCTTATGAAGTTTATTCACATATTTTCACTTTATGACAGACACATCTAAAATGAATATATTAAATTAGATCAGTGTTAATTGCTCTTTGAATTTGGAGAAAGTAGGGATTTCTAATACTAGAGACTAATAAAACTTATTTTCATTACTATTTTTTAATAAAGGTTGTTGAAAATGTATGAAAATCAAGGTCTTAATGTTTACCTGTTTAAATCCTGCAGGAGAATCTGCGCTACTATGTGGACAAGTTATTCAATACAATTATAAAGTCAAGTATGAGTTGTCCCACTGTAATGTGTGATATCTTTTATTCTTTAAGGCAAATAGCTACTCAAAGATTTCCAAGTAAGTGCCTTGTTTAACCCACTGCCGTTTCATTTTCTGTATTTTTGTGATATTGTGTGTTTGTAGATTTGTGTGAAATGTTCAGTGGTATAGTCTTCAGTTTTTCAAAATGGTTCTAAAAATTTTCTTATGACATCTGGTTTATTTTTCTTGTAATCTCAAAATGTGTAGTCCATTTTATATCAATATGATAACTTTACACACAAAGAAAATCAAAATCAACATTCGTTTTAACAAACACAAAAATTTAGAACTATAATATTATTTAAACATTTATATGCTTATGAGATTTTTAAATGTAGTAAACACAAAGAACTTTGTTATTTGTACTGTCCTTTCATATTGCATATATTCAAATAGTGATAATCTTTACAATTAACTAGATTGTAATCATACAATTGACTAGATTTGACACATTGAGAATGCTAAAACTTTGGTGGTCAGATGCTTTTACAGAAATGGTTTTTGAATTAGAAATATCTCAGTGAGCTGGGGGTTTAGCTCAGTGGTGCCGCCACCTGCCTCGCAAGCACAAGGATCCGAGTTCGATTTCTGGTACCAAAAACAAAACAAAAAGATCATAAGGGCTGGGGATTTAGCTCAGTGGTGCCACCACCTGCCTCACAAGTGCAAGGTCCTGAATTCCATTCCCAGTACCCCAAAAAAGAAAATAGAAATATCTCAGTGACATTAGAATCAACTCAGTTGTTGTAGGCATACTGGTGCATGCTGAGCTACTCTAGAGGCTGAGGCAGGACAATTACAAGTTTGAGGCCAGCTTGGACAACTTAGCAAAACCTCTCAAAATAGCATTAAAAGGGGCAGGTGTAGGAGAAACATCTCAGTCACAGGGTACATAGAATTTTGGTATATATATATCAGTAACTAGCATGCTTTAATTTTGCAGAAGTAGCTATGTTAAGGTTTTACTTGGAAACATTTCATAAAATGGTAAGTTGCTATCTCTTCCTGTCAGTACTTGGAATTATTCTAATACATCTTATATATAAATGAACTTACTATAGTTGTCTTTCTAAATCTACTTATAATGGCATGGAAAGATAAGGCAGCTACTTAAATTGTCAGTCTATCACAACTATATGAAAATCTATTTCTGTAACTATTTGAAGAAACTTTGCTATTTTGAGTTGTTTTAAATGTATGCATTTATCTATTCCTCTGTTTTAATTTACCCAATACTAAAGTGGAGTGGTTGTCTAATTTGTAGATAAATTCACATATAGTTATCTTGGCTAATCATAATAAAGGCAAACATTTAACTTCTAATATGTATACTAAATCAAGTCTTCATAAGAGAAAGAGTAGAAACAATATATGGAAATAAGACATGCTGGTTAAATTATATTTTTAAGTAGTAGATTGTGATAACTACATTGAGTACTTATTGAATGGGCACAATGCTAACCTACATCATCTACTTTCATCTTCTCAACATCTGCTTGAATTAATCATTGGTACCATTAGTTAGGTAACACTAAAGTCAAGAAGTTGAAAAACAGGCCGGGGATTTAGCTCAGCGGTTCGGTGGCCTGCCTTGCAAGCGCAAGGACCTGAGTTCAATCCCTAGTACCAAAAAAAAAAAAAGAAGTTGAAAAACTTTAACAAGGCCCATAATAGGCCACGAGCAAAGCAGACAAGCAGCATCTCAACCTGGGCCTGGCTTTCTCCAAAGCTCTACTACCCAGTGACCTTAGCTTCAAATTTGCTTTAACTGTGTAATTCTTATTTCTATAAATTATCCAAAACTTACTTTATAGTTTTTAAAATAAGTGTAATGGTATCTCAACTGTCTTTTGGTGGCTTAACTACCATTGTATCTTCATATCACAGTAAGTAGACTTCAGAATTGATAGATTTATTACTATAAAATATTTTCATTCTCTCATTTGTACTCAGTACCTTGGGAATATGGGGGTGGAGATAGCAGGTGAGAAACAAATACTAAAAACAACAAATTAATTTTTTTATTTATTGAGTGATTAATAAGTGTTAAAACTCAATCTAAGCTCAGAGATTCTCCCCTCACCACTTGCTTCTCTACCATCTGATCGTTAGGTTAAGTGTTGACTCCAGTCTGAAAGAAATGCTGGTAGGTGAGTGACCAGTGCTGCAAGCAGTCCAGTTCATCTGCATTTTTACATGAATTTTTAGCTTTTTGAAAGTAAAAATGTCTCCCAGCTAGGCATGGTGGCACGTGCCTATAATCCCAGGACTTGGGAAGCTGAGGCAGGAGGATTATTGCAAGTTCAAGGCCAGCCTGGACTACATAGAGAAACCCTGTCTCAAAACAAACAAAAAAGATGTCTTCTCTAATTGTTTTTATTGCATAGCCTTTGATAGCATCAAGATTTTTAGAGGGATTCAGTTTTACCCCTAGGTAGTGCTATACACTACTTTTATTTTTATTGGAATTTCAAGTGTCTGTTCTTGTAGATGAGGAAAGAGGTATTTTTCAAATTAAAATATTTCTAAAAACCTAACAACTTTGCCTTTCATTTTCTTTATTCCTTTCAGATTTTTTTCATCATAGTATTTTCATTTAATTTAGTCATAACCATTATCATTTCATCAACTCAATACTTACAAGACAAATAATATTGCTCTCTTGCTTAGTTCACATTTCTTTTGGTATTTTTTACTTTATCATCTTTGTTTTCCAATTCAGTGTTTTTGTGCATGACATTTCACCATTTTTTTTCCTGCAGATGACCCTCATGTTCAGTATTCTGCAGTGAGCAGCTTTGTATTCCTTCGTTTCTTTGCTGTAGCCGTAGTATCACCTCATACTTTTCATTTGCGACCTCATCACCCAGTAAGTGTTTGTTCTTCTCAAAGCTTTATTCCATTTTATTTATTTTTAGTAAAATGAAGAAAAGATAAACCAATTTCACTTGGCTATTTTCTGATAACTGATATATAAATTTACTTAGCATTTTTCTTGGCCATTTTAGTTCTTTAGATAAGACTGAAAATTCTATTGTTGAGGTATTTCACAAGAGTGATAAAATGTTGATAATTGTTGAAGTTTGGTGATGACCACAAATGGGATTCATTATATTCTTCCCTCTGCTGTTGTATAGGTTTGTAAATTTCCCTAATAAAACTTGTATGCTACACACACACACCCACACCCCCCCACACACACACTCACCATTAGGTTTAGTTTTGGTTATGGTGGTGATGGTTGGGGTGGTTATTACCAGATTGGCTTTCCTGATTTATTGAAATAGTTTAACCTTGCAGATACTCTGCAGTGTCACAGAAATTTGAAGAAGCTCATTTCTGAAAATTATAGGAACATGTATTAAATATAATTTGCTTCATATTTCTATATTTTTTTACTTTTTCATTCACCTAAGGTGATATTTTTTAAATTTTAAAATCATGTAATCTTTTTGTTCTGAAGTGGTATTCATTTATCTAAATCTCCACAGATTTACATGTTTATTTCTTAATATTTTAAAATTCTTTGTTATTTTTGCTATGTTTCCTTATACTGTGTATTTTTACTCATTCTTTAACCTTGTATGTTCCAAGTATTTTATAACCTTAACTACTTTTAGTACTGACTTGTATAACAAATAATAACAAGCAACATTTATTTAGTGCTCACTTTGTGCTAGGCTTTCTTTAAGCACTTTATCCTCGTAGTAACCCTAAAAAGTTTTTATATTTTACACTTAGAAGTTCTTTAAGTTTTGAGAAACTAATTTAAATAGAGCAAAAGAGAAGAAAATCAATTTGCAGAATACTAAAGAAAAAGTAGGTAAATACAGTTTATCCTAGGAAATATATCAGAGCTTTTCCTGCTGCTAAAAACTTATAAATTCGAGCACATACATGTGCATGCATATACATACATGAATGAGTGGATAATTTTTGTTTTAAAAAGATATTCATGGGCCAGGAATTTAGCTCAAAGGTTCCACTGCCTGCCTCGCAAGAGCAAGGTACCAAGTTTGATCCCCGGTACCAAAAAAAAACATTCATGGTTTTTTTATTAACATTCACATGGTAAGCTGGGTATGGTGGCACACGCCGGTAATCCCAGCACTTGGGAGGCTGAGGATCGCTGTGAGTTTGAGACCAGCCTGGGCTACGTACTGAGTTCTGGGTCAGTTTCAACTACATAGTGAGACCCTGTCTCAAAAAACAAACAAACAAAAAAATTGACATGGTAGAGCACTCTTGAGACATTTCATGTTAACAAGAAAGGAAAAAAAAAAAAGATTGTACCATCTTTTTTCATTATATTCCCTCATGGTCTTCTTGATACCTGCTTTTAAGACCCAGCCAGGGCTGACTTCTTCAATATCTTATTTTGGTTATATGCCTCTGTTTTGTCACCAGTTTGGTGAGGTTCACTTGAGATATGGGTAGTCTTAGTCCCCCAACTGCTACTCACTTTTGCAGCAGTCCTTAGCCCCCTAGCCAGCCAGCCATCCAGCCCTTGTGGCAGTCCATATTTATAGCAAAATGCACAGTAGTGGCTGTGTGTCAGTATTGACCTATAAGTTACTTACACGGAGACTGCACGATACACCTATGCTGGAATTCTGCTGACTTGGACTTAATGTCTGCCAGAACCGTGTCCCCCCTCGTCTCGCCAGTTTGAACCATAGTGTAGCCATCTTCGGCTTCATTTTTCCCTTCAGCCTCTTATTTGTTCCTATAGCATCCTTTGTGTATGTCTCTGTCTCTGTATCTCATATGGAATTTTCAGTTATACATAACTTCTTTAATCTCTTAACTCCTTAATCAGAGGAGTTGTGCCCAGCCATAGCTAGATTTTGCCTACTATTTCTTTGTGTGGAGGGGTACTGGGAATCAAACTCAGGACCTTGCACTTGTCAGGCAGGCTTGGTTCCACTGAGCTACATCCCTGGCCACTACATTGGTGGTCTGAATGAACATTTTTAGTTACTATTGTAGAGCCATCTCTATTCTACTTTTTATAAACTTCTGTATCTTGAAAACTTAAGAATATTGGCCTTTTTTACACTTTTTTAGGATGCACAGACAATTAGGACATTAACTCTCATCTCAAAAACCATTCAAACTTTGGGAAGCTGGGGCAGCCTGTCCAAAAGCAAGGTAAGTCTTTGCATCTTTTTTTTTTCCTCGCTTTCTTTTTAATCTTCATTTTATTTTTGCAGTACGTAATGATTACATTCATCATGGGAAGCTGATACATGTACTTTTCACATTTCTAAATATTGTTATATATCCTATGATTACTTCTTTACTTATGTCCTTCCTTATTCAAAACAAACAATAGCACTTGTGGGCTAGACTTGCTTTCAGATGCATAAAGTAAAGTCTCTTTTACAATCCAGAACTTATTGTTCAGTGTGAGTTTTGATACATATAATAAAGAATATTATCACTAGGTGCAGTGGTACAAGCCTGTGATACTGTAACACCTGATACTGTGAGGCATAATGAGACTGCCTCAGAAAACAAAGCAAAAACAAAATTATGATAACCTAATAATACAGATTAAAGTGATGCAAGGTGTTAATTAAAGCTGCTGGGTTTGATCCCTACTGCCCTCCCATCTGTCTGTCTGTCTCTCTGTCTAGTTTTACTTATCTTAATAAACCTGAGAGTGAAAGGGAATCTAGTAAGAAGATATAGGAGCAATCTAGTTGTCTATGCCATAATCACCTAACAGCTTTGAAAGAAATCTTCAGTTCTTACCCTGTAACTCTCTAAAAATATATAATTAAATCCTTTTAGCCCTTAATGCTGTTTAAAAATAATTTCTCAGTACTCTACATAACATGTAAAATCTCTGGTTTTTTTTGTCTTAGTCAAGTTTCAAAGAGACATTCATGTATGAATTTTTTAAAATGTTTCAAGAAGAAGGATATATTACAGCAGTTAAAAAGGTATGTTTTATTTTCCTCTGAAAGTGTTACCATTTTTGTTGTACTGCATGGGCAATATAACATTTCATATTATAGAACTTAGTTTCCAGTTTTTTTTAAAAAAATGGCTCAACTGTCCATCAAAAGGGCTCTTTTTCTTCCTTTCTCTTCTCATACAAAGCTCAATTTTTCAGCTATAAAAATATCTATAAGCAAGTCTTAGCAATAGCTACTTTTGCCAATGCCTTAGTAACAAATTATAAATTTCTGGAGTTGAGGTTTCTCAACAGCAACAGAATCAACTTCCAAGGCCAGATAATTCTTGATTGTGAGGGGCTGGCCGTTATCTTGTAGTACGTTTAGCAACTTCCCTAAGTCAGATGTGAGTAGTATGTCATCAGTTTTGACAACCAGAAATGCCTCCAGTCATTGTCTCCTGGGAACAAAATTGCCTTTGGTTGAGAATTCTTGGCCTGGGGTAAGGGGCTTATAATGGTACCTGTTATATAGTATATAATAGCCAAAGTAAATATTGAATGTCAATGAATAATAATATTTATGGTAATAATCAGAAAAGTTAATAAAAATAAAATGTACAGAAAGCCACAGTATTGAGCTGGGTGGGATGGTACTTGCCTGTAATCCCAGCACTCAGGAGGCTGAGGCAGGAGGATTGCTGCAAGTTTAAGGCCAGCCTGGGCTGTGTAGTGAGTTCAGGGTCAGCCCGAGCTACATACTGAGACCGTGTCTCCCCCCCCCGCCAAAAAAAAAATCTAAAAGCCTACAGTATATAATATCTTAACATGAGACCTATAACATACAAAAATTATTGTACATTAAATCATCCATATAAAATTTAGTATTGTAAATCTGGAAAGCTTGTGAAATAAAGTTCTTTTGAAGTACATCTAAACTAGGCTTGAAGAAAGTAATATATCTTGTATCACAATCCTAATTCTATAAATCCAAAGTAGCAAAGCCAAATTTGAAAGACTATATTCAGTTCCTGTAGCATGATTAGCAGTTGATGGCCAAAAATATATTTAAAGTATTCATTTGGACTTTTTTTTTTTTCTTGGTACCAAGGATCGAACTCGGGTCCTTGTGCTTGCGAGGCAGGCAGCAGAACCACTGAGCTAAATCCCCGGCGCTCATTTGAACTTTTAAAATATATACTTTTAATATTTACAAAGGGATTTCATAAATGAAAATTACTGAAAGAGTAAAATCTTCTGGATTTCATTTCTCATGTAGAATAGTGTAAGTTCAACCAAAAAAATTTTTAAAAACAATCATTGAAATCTTGTGGAAAAAGTTGTTCAAGAGAATAGGCAAAGAAAAATATCTGCCCTTTGTTTTTAGGACATTATTGAAACATTTATGGGATAGTATAGGCAGACTTTTGTTGGCACGATTATGATGTGCTGTCTTTTGGGTATATTTTTCTGTTTTATGACCCAGGCTATGATAGCATCTGATCCCCCCCCGAATGTGGAGTTAATAATATGAGTAGAGAAAAGATTTCAGGGTGCCAGGAGTTCAGTCTTACTGATCTGCCCTAAGTCATCCACTAAAATTCTTTTTTTTTTGGTACCAGGGATCGAACTCTGGTCCTTGTGCTTTTGAGGCAGGTAGCAGCACCACTGAGCTAAATCCCCAGCCCATCAATTAATCTTCTAATGTATTCTCACCCATAGTATGTCTTTCTGTCTTAGATTTGGTTCTAGACTCCTAGTCTGACATAGGGTATTTCACCCTAATATCCCAATTTTCTTGATTGTTTATTCATGGTCTGGATATGTGCATTGCTAGAAATTGCAAACACCAATGTGAAACCCAGGTTCTCATTTCATATTGGCACTCTCACTGTTGACATTGACTATTGTCAGAAATAAAATAGATTTTAACTCTGAATCACAGTAAAACCTTAGTTTGTAAGCATAATTTGTTCTGGAAACATGCTTATAATCCAAAGCATTTGTATATCAAAGCAAATTTCCCCATAAGAAATAATAGAAATTCAGATGATTTGTTCTACAACACAAAAATATTCATATAAAAGTGATTATAATACTGTAATATAGTACAAAATAATAAAGAAAATACAAAATGTAAAGACAAATTAAATTGCACTTTTGAAAACTTGTGACTGGTGTGAGAGAGGAGAAAGGAGAGCTATTGTGTAGGATGACTTTCACAATGAGATCAGTAGTATCTATTTGCTCAGTGAAATCTTTTCCTTTTCATACAACTTTAATAAGGAATCTATCCAATGACAGTTGCTTTTGCCTCCCTTTTGAGGGTTTTGTGGAAACTTGACCAATATTTTATTGTCATTTAACAGAATCATCGCTCTCACTGCTACCGCCACAAGTAGTAAATCCAAAGTAGCAAAGCCAGATTTTAAAGACAGCATTCAGTTTCTGTAGCATGATTAGTTAATGGCCAAAAATATATTTTAACTATTCATTTGGACTTTTAAAAAATACACTTTTAATGTTTATAAAATTTTGTACTGTTTCCCGTATTTTACACATCTCCCTAATCTCATTTGAATTGTGGGATTCCTCTTCCTTTTTCCCATCCTCCTCTATACGTCTCTTCATAACCTCTTGCCATTGGGATACAACCACCCACAATCCTGCAGTGAGGGGATGGGGTGACCATTGGCTTAGGTGTAATCATGTGATGTTTGGCATCATGTACTACTTACATTGCAAGACATCATTCATTTATCAAGTTAAAATTTATTAGAAATATTTGCTCATCTTGCAGAACACTCTTAAAGAACAGATTACTTATAATTCAATGTTTTATTGTATTATTCTACATAGAGTTTAGGAAGGTAATCTGGAGAATTCTTTATATAGGTTGACTGTATAATTTGGTGTCAATATCAGGATACTTTTAAGAATGGAAAGTATTGTTAATGATTATTCTGGGAAAATAAGTATTGGCCTGAACAAACTGGTTACCTATAGTCACTTTCCTAACTTATTGTTAAATAAATCAATGATTTCAAGTAAACACTAAGAAATGAAATATGTAAATAGCTATTATACTCCATTATTTAACAGCTCATTTGTGAGAACTGGAAAATGTGACAGGGCATTTCTTTAGTTCCCTTGGATTCTTGGCACCTGCATCATCACATACAATACAAAAAGAACTCTGTTTTTGCTTTTTTCATTTACCAAGCTTCCCACAAATCATTCATGTTAGTGTATGTAAACACAATGTGCGAATACTCACACTAAGTGGAATAAATATAGACCATAAATAGCTTAATGCCAATTTAATTTAATTGACACCTTCAAATGAAGTTACTGTAGATCAAAGACCAAAAAAAATCTGTGTTCAGAACGCTGTAGATATCAGGATTGAAGTTAAGGATCATAGGTTGAATTATTTCTATAGGAAATTTATTCAGGATTTTAAGTACAGAATTTAAGAATTTCTCAGAGTACTTGGCATTTGTAAATTAGAAACTGCCTATATAGCTGTGTTTTGTTTTCTGAATTACTACAGGATGAACATTTCTAATCCAAAATGCTCAAAAATATGAAATGCTCCAGAATCTGAAATTTTTTTAATGTTGACATGATGCCTCTAGAAAATTCCACAGATGACCTGATATAGTAGGTCACAGTCAAAAGTGCAGGTGCACTGAAAGTACTGTATAAGATTACCTTCAGGGTATAGCATAGTGCATCCTTATATGAAACCTAAACAAATTTCATGTTTCGACATGGTCCCATTCCCAAGATAATCTTACTATATATAAGCAAATATTCCAGTATCCCCCAAAAGAATTTGAAATAAAAAATACACGCATTTTGGATAAAAGATACTCAACCTGTGATACGCATGCTCTTTAATAAGTAAGAAATTCCAATATAGTCAGTGATATGTAAGTTAAATTGAGTTTTTTATGATGTTCCTCATTGCACAGTTTAATATTTGCCCATTTTCCTATTTAGTTCTTGGATGAGATTTCATCTACTGAAACTAAAGTATCCAGTGGAACAAGTGAACCTGTGCACCTGAAAGAAGGGTAATTTAATGAAATTAGACATGAAAATGGTATTTTAGTGTAGGCATTAGTTCAGTATAGAGAGCATAGATCTGAGAGTAAGGAAATCTGAGTTTTTGTTCTGTGCTAAAACTAAAACTGCCTAAATCACATCAGTCAAGTAAGTCATCTCACTACCTTATAAACTGTCAGATGGGCATAATCCTTGTCCATGCAATCTCAGAGTTTTACAGTTGTGATGAAGTAAGTATAAGGATACTTTCTAAAAGTTAACCACGCTATTCAGTTTTAGAGGGCTTATTATTGAAAAATAAAGGGGGAAATCACTTATATGGCTCTTTTTTATCCTATGTAACAGTTTATGAATTGAAAACTTTATTGCCTTGGGATAGCCAAAATAAATACAAGAGTCACAGATAGCACAAACATTTTCATAAATTCAATATAGTCTTATATAATTTTGTATGTCATTTAAAATTAAAAGACAATTCTTTGTTTTGAATGAACTGTTATTAATCTTTGTGGCTAAATGTTTACCTTCATTGTTTTGGCAGTGAGATGTTTAAAAGAGCTCAGGGAAGAACTCGAATTGGAAAAAAGAATTTCAAGAAACGGTGGTTCTGCTTAACAAGCAGAGAGCTTACTTACCACAAACAGCCAGGTAGTTGTGCTTATGCTTTACTGAGGGTTTTTTTTCCTGGGTTCTCAGTGAAGATTTCTGTTTTGCTTCTTAATGTGACTCTACTGAATTATTTCACAGTATTAATAGTTTATAGTTTCACAGTGATACACACATATTTAGAATGAAATAGGTACTTAACAGGTGACACCGTGTAAATTATCTTTTCCTCACACATTGAATTTCTTTTATTTCAAAAATGACATTAATTTTGCTTCCTCAGAATCTCTGGTAAATCCCCCACTGTAGTTAGTATAATGAGCAGTTTCCAAGCCCCGTCAGAGTTGGAAATTCTTTAATTCTCAGAGCCAATTTAAGATTCATTATAAATAAGTGAAAACATTTGTGTGCTTTATTAGACAGTTCCAGCTAAAATTTACCACAGTCATAGCATAGATTATGATCACTATATAATTGTCAGATTCATTTTAGGCTATTGTCTTAAGCTAACCCCAAAATGGAAGATTTGATAGTTTGTTTTTGGAAATGACTCTCATGTCATAAATGGGCTGCCTGAGTAAGATAGCCAGGTATCTGATTTGAGAGGTGAAGAAAGGCAAAGTTTGTCTTTCAGTTGACTAAAATAGTGCATAAAATCTTGTTGAAAGTTTGTTCCTTTGGGATAAAGCATTATCTACAGAAGGCCCTTAGCTTCTTATATTTTAGCAGGAAGAATTTAGTATCACAGATAATAGAATCCCATTTATCCACGTGATCAGGATCCAGAGATGTTCATTTAACCAAAAAATTAGTTAAAACAAGAATGAAAATGTAAACAAAAGATGCATATAAACCCTAAATACTTGTACATCAGTTTTCAGGGTAATTTCTCCAAAGTGAATCTAGAATTTAGATACTTGAAGAGTAATCCAAGTACAGCATCCCTTTAGATCTTTAGAATGGCCACTCTGATCTTTTATAGTTGTCTTGTCCCTACATGAATCTACTTCATATGGATATGGATCTTCCTTTTTTATTTTATGAAAAAAATAAAATTTCATAATCAAATAATAAAATAACAATAGTTAATACACTGTGTATTATTATCTTCAAAATAGTTACTTAGAGTACAGGACATAAACTAGAAAGATTCTTTAAAAAAAAAAGAGGCAGGGACTGGGGATTTAGTTCAGTGGCACCATGCATGCCTCGGAAGCACAGGGTCCTGAGTTCAGTCCCTGGTACAAATTTGAAAAAGAGAGTGACAGTAACACAAATCTTTATTTTCAGTGACCTAAGATAAACTAGCAATATAAATGAACCAATTAGCATATATATTGAAATATTTTTAAACAATGGAATTTATAATTTGGGGAAGTATTTTAACTTCTCCCTACTTCCTTTTATTTTATTTTATTTATTTTTTTTGATACCAGGGATCGAACTTGGGACCTTAAGCTTATGAGGCAGACAGCAACACCACTGAGTTAAATCCCCAGCCCTCTTACTTCCTACTTATCTCTTCTGTTTTGTGCTTGCTCTCTTTCTCTCCTCTCCCATAATAAAGTAAACATCAGATATAAGGTCCTTTCAGGACAATAGTTTAAAGTAGAGTGCTATTCTCAAATTGTAGAATGGTAAGAAAGAAATAATTCCTTTTTTTTTTTTTTTTAAGAGATGAGGTTCTCACTGTGTTGCCCCAGCACATAAGCTCCAGGGATCCTCCTGTCCCAACTTCCCAGGTAGCAGTGTCTACAGGTGTTGCACTACTGCATTGACTAAGAAAGATGATTGATTTCATACTTCTTTAGAAACAGCTTAGCCAGCATATGTCCAATAAGAAACAAAACACAGTGTATTTCTAAGTATCCAAATGATTTGTTATAGTATATCAACATTAGATAACTAAAGATCAGCAGGCTGTGTTTTCCCTTTCAGACATTTTAAAGCAGTGTATTTGAATGTATTAGAAACTATAGTTTATATTGAATTCTACACAAATGTTCTTACCTATGGATAGCCATAGGTGCTTATTATGTACATATAATTATGTGTACATATAAATAAAATTTTAGATAAAAAGTCATTCTGTATGAATATTTTTTTTTTCAAATTGAAAAATTTTTAAATCTAAAATGGTATTCTAAAGTTTTTTTGGGGGGTTATAATCTCTATTAAGAATTAGATGATATCTATAGGCCCTCTTTCCTAGAAAACTACATATACAAAAAATTTTCTGTGTAATTTCAAGGAGTCCATAGTCCCTAAATCCATCCACTTCTCAAGTTTAAACCTCTATGTAGTGATTTAAAGAGGATAAAATTCTATAGAATTAGGCTACATAAGTATAAAACACATGGAAGCTGCATTGTTTTCATGTTGAAGGAATTGAACCTATGAGATTTTGAGGTTATTTAACCAAAGCCTGTAGTTTATGTCTTTCGTTTTAACTATTTTGATGGATTTTTCCAAAATATATTACATGCTTTCCTGTCTTCTGAAAAAGAATTCTTTGAATGTAACATAACATTTTTCTAGTTGATTTGGAGCTGTCATTGATAGTATCATTATATAATACTGTGATTTAGTGATGTTTTCAGGATTGCTTAAGGGTGTATGCAACTGCTTATTCCAGCTAAATGCTTTACTCCCCAGCTAAATGCCTTGGACTGCTGTGTGTTTTGTGTTCCTGCTTTATGTTGTTTTTCTGTATCCTTTATGGTGAGGCTATGACCTTAAATTTCTTGTGCTGTCAACAAACCATTATGTAGCATCTTACTCCTGTCTCAATTATCAACCTTTTTTTTTTACTGCTAATGTGCAGTAAATGAGGGTGCAGATACTGGTTGTTAACATTTTGCATACTGTTAAAAGAGTGAAGCTATCAGGACTTCACCCTATGAATAAAGTGTGTAAGCTTTGTCTTCCTGGTTGTTCAGCAGATGTTTTATTTCCCCTTTTCTTGCTGTTTTCTATATAGCCAACATTGTCTCTTGAGTAATTTTTTGCTACATTTGCTAAATGATCTTGGTGGTGTCTAAAAGAATGCCTCCCAGGGCTGGGGATTTAGCTCAGTGGTTTGGCCCCAATGCAAGGACCAAAGTTACATCCCTGGTTTAAAAAAAAGAATGCTTCCCAAATTTTCTGTAACAGAACTCTAAAACATTTAGTCTTTCATTCACTCCTCTTGCTACTCAGTAGTATTATAAATCAAGTGTTTCTGCCTCTTCAGATCAAATAACGTGGTCTCTTCCCAATTTACTGGCAAAGGAATTAATAGAATTTTTTCAATTTTAGGAATTTTTCCCCAGATTGTTAAAATTTTTAATATCCACTTAGGTAATTGTTGTCAAGCAGTGTTAAGCAATTAATCTTCAAAACAGTTAAATTGGTGTGTGGCAAATGAGTGTCACTCAGTCAACTATCAGACATGATTACCTTAATACCTTTTTATAGATCTCTGTGATGATTATAATTTTATATTTTCTGTAGTATCATCATCTTCGACAAGGAAAAGTTCTTATTAATGTGCCAACCTCTCTTTGTCTCAGCCAACCTCATCTTTTGCATTCTCCATTGTTACTTCACCAAACTAGCTCTTGTCGTTCCTTTAACTTGCTTTTTTACTGTCATGCTTCTTCATATGTTCTGTGTAGACCTCTCTTTCCTTCTTCATTTGTGTAATCTGATGTCCAAGATTTAGATAAGTGTCAACGAAGATGTTTTAAACTTCCGGCTACCTCAGTTTTTTAAGCCACCTAGTGGTAACATCTGGCACACTGTATGGCCATTACTTTCATCTATTACTTCCTCGTGTTAAAGATCCACAGTTATAAGAACCATATTATTACTGGTGGCATAAAGATACAGTATTTAGTAAATATTCTTTAAAGAACACCATGTCTTCCAGCTCTGCTATCATCCAAATTACTTTTAAGAACTACTTTTCTATGTCTCTGAAATTTTCATCAAGCATAGTAGTAACAAATTCATCTTTGAAATTATATTCTGTAAAATTTGATTAGCTATTATCTGCTTTGAGGAGACCTGTTATACATAGATATATGCACACAACTTTCATGTGATATCAAATGTCCTCACTCATATAGCCTATAGACACTATAAATAAATTTCCATAAACATAAATGTTCAGTACGTTTAAGTTGACTTCCATCTTACTTTCTCATTGCTGAGACAAAATACCCACCATCCACAAGTTAAAGGAGAAAAGTTTTATTTTAGTTCAAAGTTTGTAGAAGTTTCAGTCCACGGTGGTTTGACAGAGCAGTGTGGCAGGGGAGAATAGTCCATAGCATGGCAGCAGGAGGCAGTGATTCTTCCTCCTTTCCCTTTTTATTTTATCCAAGCTGCAAGCCTTTTGGTTGCTTCTACCCATATGCATTGTGGGTCTTCTTTCTTCACTAAGTTTCTCGTGTACAACCAGAACTATGCTAAACCAATCAATAGACTAGTGCAATATCACACGCATGATCCAGTCATCTCCCAAAAGCCCCACCTATGAGTGCATGAGGTTTTGGGGAGACATCTAGATATAAGCCATAACAACTTGGTTTTTACCTGCCCATGCATTCAGACATAGGACTATGCTGGGTGTTTTTCTCTGACACCTGAAGAAAAAGTACATCATTGATCATACATTTTCTTTTCTCTTTTTTTTTTTGAATCAGGGTCTCCTTATGTAATTGAGACTGACCTGGAACTCACTAGGTAGCCCAGGCTGGTCTCAAACTGACAGAGATCCTCCTGCCTGAGCCTCCCGAGTGCTGGGATTACAGGTGTGTGCCACCACACCTGGCTTGATCATATATTTTCAGTTCAGTGTATATTTCGTTGAGGACCTTCCCTGTGCCACACACTGTTCATGGTGCAGGAGAAAACAGTAGTGAACGAAGTGTATACCTTAATGGAGCTTATAGTTTAGTAGTGATAGACACTAAGTTAAAGGAAGGGAGAGAGAAGAGTGGGGTGAGTAATCCACAGGAGTGAAGGTAATGATTTGGACCAGTTGGTAGCAGTGGAAGTTGTAAAAATCACATTCTGGATCTATTTTAAAGGTAGTGCTCAGAGGATTTGCAGAGGATTAGATACTAAGAGTGAGACAGAAAAATCAAAGATTGGGCATGAGCAACTGGAAGGATAAATTTCCCATTTTAAAAATAGATACATCCTGAATTCTGATGGAGTTTGTACTAGACCAACTGTCTCATAGATAATAATTGTAAACTTCAGCCACAATATATAAAAACAACTTGCTGAGTAATTCCATTCTTGAAAGAAAAGAATCATGCTAAGATTTCTATTGACCTGGCTTACCCCCAGTCCCCAAGAGGACTTACAGCTTGTGCAGTGTGGTATGGCCAAATTCAAGCAGAAATCTGGGGTTTTATTGGATTGAGGTATCAGAGGATGAAAGTCAGAGCTATCAGAAAGGCTGGAAATTGAGAAGACAAGAGGAATAGCTCTTATTCACAGTGGTATGCATATGAACTCCTTTGAAATCCAAGGGGAAACTCCAAAGAGGCTAATGAAAAGCAATAACTGAAAGCTTTAAAAAGATGAGCAGGGATTTCAGCTTCTGCCCTCCTCAGGGGAGAGAGAGTTTGATTACCAAGAGAGGCTTGTTAAACATTCCACAATTTTAAAATATATATTTTTGTTAGTGCCTGTTAACTTTATAAAATGCTGGGTTTCAATGTACTATTTTCATACACTCCTATAATCTAATCATATTACCATTACCTTACACTGCATCCCCTACCCCTTGAATAAGGGGTTCCTCTTGTCCAATAATGATCTCCCTTCTACTTTAACATCCTCTTCTTTAGATTCCAAATGTTAAGGAAAATATGCAGTACTTGTATTTCTGAGTCTGGCTTATTTTGCTTAGATATTTTGGCTAGATAATACTCCACTATGTCACATTTTCTTTATTCATTTCTTTATGAGCACCTAAGATGGTTCCACATCTTGGCTATTGTGAATCCTGCTGCAATAAACAGATATGTAGATATCATTATAGTATGCTAATTCTTTGGGGCATATAGCAAGAAGTGTTATAGCTGGGTCATATGGTAGTTATATTTTTAATTTTTTTAATAACCTCCATACTGATTTTCATCATTTACATTCCCACCCAGTAGTGTAGAAGCATTCTTTTTTCCCTACATTCTCATCAGCATCTGTTGCTTTTTGTATTCTTGATGATAGCCAGTCCAACTAAGATGAAATCTGTATAGTTTTGATTTGCATTTCTCTAATGGCTAAAGATGTTGAACATTTGTTCAACTTATTAGTCAAATGACTTATTAGTCATTTGTACTTCTTTTAGAAGTATTTTGTCCATTTGATTGAGCTATTTGATTTTTTGGTGTTGTATATTCTAGAAATAAATCCTTTGTTGGAAGAATACCTGGCAAAGTTTTTTTGTTTTGTCTTGTTTTTGTCACATAGGCTGTCTCTTCACTCTGTTCATTGTTTCCCTTGCCGTGCCAAAACTTTTTAATTTGATGCAGTCCTATTTCTTTATTCTTGCTATTTCCTGTGTTGTTGGGGTCCTATTCAGGAAGTCTTTGCCTGTGCCTATGATTTCAAGTGTTTCCCCTATATTTTCTTGTAGAAGTTTCAGGTTTTAGGTCTTATATCTTGGTCTTTGATTCATGTTGAATTGATTTTTATGCAGGGTGAGAGATAGGGATCTGGTTTCTGTTCAGTCTTCTCTGTAAGGATATCAAGTTTCCCTCATTTGGTTTGGTTTGGTTTTGAGGTTTTTGGTTGGTTGATTGGTTTGTTGGTTGCTTGGTTTGCCCAGCCTCAGCCTGTTCTTAGGAACACACTCCATCAACTGCTTCCCAGAACTCAGAGTGCACAGTGCTCAAGACATCATTGACCAAGAGCTCATAGTTACACCAGGAGGAATGTCCCTAAATCTCCTCCTAAGCCTGGCCTCACCTGCTTGTCTTTCACCCCTGATTTCCTTGTACCATATCCTCTGACCCCACTTCTCCTGCCATGTTTTCATAATCGTCTCGGGCTCCTAGCAAGCAGCACCACCTGACCATATATGTGATCATGGGGCCTGATCATGTAAGAAAAATACTGTGGGCTCATCAGGGCTTGCACTTAGGACCTTGGAGCGCCCGTTCCTACTATAGTTTCTTTTCCCCCTTTCCTACCATCAGGGCCACTCCAGCTATCCAGAAACCCACATGGTCTCCCCTCTGTAGCACCATTTGTTAAAGAGACTGTCTTTTCTCCAGGGTATGTTTTTGGCTCCTTTGTCAAGAGTCAAATGGTTGTTGTGTGGCTTTGTTTCTGTGTCCTCTATTTTATGCAATAAAATTTATTTGTTCTGAGTATTGTACATACATACAATTCTCCATTGAATGTCCAATTCATTTAATGATCTAATCATAGGAATGGAACTTGGTCATTAAACAAGGAGCTTGTAGTTAAAATGTCAAATGTATAGAACAAGGAAGGAAAGAATACTGAAAACATCAGGAGAGAAACAGCAAGTTACTTACAGAATGAAATCCATCAGGTTGACTTAAGACTTCTCTGCAAAAACCAAAGGACAGAAGGGCACGGAATGATTTATTTCAAGCACTCAAAGAAAGTAACTGCCAACTTACATTACTCTATCAAGCAAAGGTATTCTGTAAAAATCAAAAAAGAAATAAAAATTTTCTAAGACAAGCATAAACTAAAAACTCATGACCACTAAGGCAGACAGCAGAAAATAAAAGAATCTTACAAACAGAAGAGAAAGGGGCCAGCGATTTAGCTCAGTGATACCACTGCCTGCCTTACAAGCATAAGGTCCTGAGTTGGATCCCTGGTACAAAAAAAAACAGGAAGACAAGATAAGCTATTGAGAATTATGTGAGAATCAAACATTAGAAAAACAACAAAATGATATTTCTACAATAATTTTGAATGTAAATAATCTTAATTTTCCAATCAAAAGACACTGACTGGCAGACTGGATAAAAATCCAAGACCTAATTCTGCTGCCTGTCAGAAACACATCTCACTATGAAGACATAAACAGTTTGAAAGGATCAAACCAACATTCTGTGCAAATGGAATCTAAAAGTAAGTAGTAGGTATACTAGTATTTGACAAAGCAGATTTCAAGACAAAATTAGAAGAGATGAAGGCTCTACACATTGGTTAAGGGGACAATCCACCAATAACAATTGTAAATATATATGTACTAAATATCGGTGTGACAAATCTTATTTTTAAAAAAACTACTTGACAGAAAGGGACAATAAGTTTCAATACATTAATAGTGAGAGGCTTCAATAATTTATTCTCACCAGTAGATCATCTAGATTTTAAAAAATCAAACAAATATCAGAGTTAAAGTACACTATAGATTAAGCAGGCTTAACACATATCTACTGAACATCCCATCCAGCCACTACATAATACACATTCTTTTCAGTAGCTCATTGTTTTCCAAAACAGATCATATTTTAGGCCCTAAAACAAGTCTTAACAAATACAAGAAGACTGATACAATTTCTTGTATTTTATCAGATTATAATGGGATTAAACTACAAATAAACAACAAGAGAAATTAAGAAACCTAGAGATGGAACATTTCACTTTTGAATTGCCAATGAGTCACTGAAAAAAATCAGGAATGAGATAAAAAATTTCCTAGAATCAAATAAAAAAGCAAATAGCATACCAGAATCTCTGGGATACAGCAAAAACTTTTAAGAATTTACATCTCTGAGTGCCTACATTCAGGGAACTCAAATAAATAATCTAATGATGCGTCTCAAGGTCATGGAAAAATAAGAACAAAACAAAACCAACATAAGAGGAGAAATAATAAACATCAAAGCTGAAATGAATGAAACAGACTAAAATAACACACAGAATCAATGAAGCAGAGTTGGTTCTTAGAGAAGGTAAATAAGACTGATAAACTCTTAAATAAATGGTCAAAGTAAACTCCAACTTGATGATTTTGCTTTTATTTGCGTAACTTATATGTAATATTGTATAACAAACCACAGTACAGTACTGTACAATATAATCAGCAACATTGCAGTACTGTCTTAACAAGATGTGCTATACAAAAAAAGACATTGAGGCTCTATAATTACAATGTATAGGGCCAGGGATTTAGCTCAGTGGCGCTATGCCTGCCTCACAAGCTCAAGGTCCTGAGCTTGGTCACTGGTATCAAAAAAAAAAAAAAAAA